CCAAGGGAGAGGTGCAGGGAAGAAGACATGGTGGGACATGTTTTGCAAGTGTACATATGCAAAGGGAGTGTGAGAAAAGGTTCGCCACTTTCTGTCACCAAAATAAACCTGTTCTTAGCGTGGGAGATGGTACTATATGGACTCATACCAAAGGGACTGGAGGTAGCATTATTAAGGACTTTTTTAGCGTGTGATAAAACTAGTTTATGAAAAGTAAGAAACCTCTGGGTGTTTAAGGGGTTGTTTTTCACTGAAGGAGAGCACCTGAAGCTTGGTCTGCATGAACTGAAATACTACATTGATCACGGCAAGGAAGAGGTGGAGAAGTGGAGGAAAAAGGACTGGACATGTTTATAGATATTAGGGTCAGAAGGGACCTCAGTAGGTCATCAAGTCCAACCTCCTGCCTTGGCTTGTTTCACTAAATCAACAGAGAGGACTGATGGAAGGAGTGGAGAGTTTTAGGTGGTTACTGAGGTAATAATATTTGATGAGTTTCTGTATGAAGAAAAAGAGTTTTGTTAAGAGGTTCTTTTGTGGGAAGTGGATGCATATTGTTTAAGGGTTTAATATATGTAGTTGTATGTTTTTGGATATGTAGTTGTTTTTGCGATATGAAATTCTGGTAAAAGAAAGGTGCTCAATATGTGAAGTTTTGTAAGTGTAGGGCAGGGGCAGGCAATTATTTTGGGTGGAGGATCTCTTAACAAGGTTTGGTGAGCTGTCAAGGACTGTATGGGTAGCCCTGTCCCTTGACAGGTGCCCCGCCCCCTGGCTGCCATCTTGGGACCAGAAGTCCCACCCCTAACCCCTGACCTTTGCTACCAGAAGTCCTTCCCTTTGCCCCTCAGAAATGCTCCTTTTGGAAGGGGGGAGTTGCCATGTTAGAACCAGAAAAAAAACGAATTGTACACTAAAAGCCAAACACCTGCTATAAGATATTTGAATGTTATTATAAACAATATTTTGCCATGATTTATATTTGTGTACTGTATATAGAGGTGATTGCATGTGTGGCTGTGTGTGTGGGGGGTGTGTAGGGTATGTTGGGGGGTTGTGTGGCGTTTGTGGGGTCTGGGTTGGTGGTTCTGGAACACACTGTCCTCTCCTGCAGTCTCTCTCCCTATCAGCATATTTACGCAATGTGGGCCCTGTGTTTTATAGACATGCTTAGCGTTAGCTGCATTTAATAAAGTTCCGTTGCTGAGCACATGCTGCTTTTGGCCACATTTTATAGACAGACAATGTATTTAGTGAGATTTTGTTGTATGCCATTATAAGATGAAGGGCTTTTCCCCCCATGCCAATGGGAGGGTGGGGTAAGGGGAGGGAAACTCGTTTTGTATTTGAGTAAATATGGTAATTCCACTCACAAAGAGTGCTATTGGTACCACTCTCACCTTTTTCAGGTGCTAAAACATCTTCATTTCTGCCACCAGGGCATGGTACCTTCATAGCTTTTCTCCAGTGGTGTGTTGTATATTTTAATCTAGTTGAACATTGGATTTAACGAGTAGTGCTGTCCTGACCTCTTTATCCTGGTGTCTGTGTGGCATGCTGGAATCGGTGATGGTTGTTGTATTAGTATTGTTCTTCTCCTGAAAAAGCGAGCAAAGCCTGAATTTGGTTATAGAGGCTTTGCTTACTTGGAAGGGTTTTGTGGTAAGCTGGAACTGATGGAAGGACTCTTATCCCCAACCTGTCTTGCAAAGCTGTGGCATTCAAACAAGCAGTCTAATGCTAGCTATTGTTGCATGGTGGTGAAGAGGGAATTTTAGACCATACCAATTATTCCACCCCAGTACACGGTTTTGATTAGAAGGTTCTGAGTTGTTTCATTGGATATGACTCTTATTCATGTACGCGCTGGGGGTAGGATTGGTTGCATATGTTACTGTAGGCATGTTCCCTCACTTGTAGGCTCTGCCCATAAGGCTTTTACTTCCTTGAGGAACTCCTCAGGCAGAACATATTGATAAACAGAGTTTTTAAGTCAATGAAACGGGGGCAAAAAAGCCCACCAAAAACAACACCCCCCAAAAAACACCCTTATTGTCTTGTTGTGGGCACTTAGAGAGGACCCCTGCAGTTCAGGCTCTAGTGCAGCCATCTGGCTCTTCCACGCAGCCCATCGTTCAACACACCATCTGTTTCCGGCACATGAACTATTTCCTTGCAGTTACTGCCCTGTGGTTCCACTCTCTGGGGTTTTAAACTCTGTGAGCTATTCCCTTATCAGCAGCCTTCCCACAGCTGCCACTACTCAATAGGGCTGGTTGCCCCCTCTTAAGGGGGAAGGCCACTGTTACAATTACATCTTTCCTGTATCTCTCATCTGCTCTTTTCAACTAATAAGGTTAACAAGATCTTTATTTTTAATATGAATGAATCTGTTTTTGCTTCTTATTGTCTCTGCTGTGCAACAGCAAAAGCTCAAGCTATTTGTTAAATTCTCAGTCAGGGGTACTCATACACTGGGAGAGTAAATAATCATGCCTTTCAATCTTGATGCTCTTCCACCTTTCCACAATGAGTTCATTTTCCATAAAATAAAAGCCATGGCAGTCTCTTACTGTATTTATGCCTTCAAGTATTGCAGGCAGGAAATATAATTAAAATCTTTGCATGCTTTTAAATTAAGATGTGTATTTCAGTTCAGAAGACATTCCACCAACAGATCGATAATACTGTGTTGGCTTTATCCTTCAGAAATGAGCTCTGTTACAGGGGGAAATGGGGCTGTGATGGCTAAGACACAAAAGTTTGGCTTGCTTTTGCAGCAAGTAGCTAAATTTCCAGCCTGGACCTGGTGTCACTGCTAAGATTGGGTGCCAGTTCATTTTGCAAGAAGGATTTGCATGCAGGAGAAAGGTTCTCCAACAGTAGTCAGGAAGATGGCAGGCTGGGAAAAGTTGTCAGGATTTAGGTGATTCTCTTTGAAGATAGACCTGTGAGAGACCTGCTTGGGGCAAGGAGGGTGAATGCGCAAAGGAAAGTGCAACCTAACCCTGTGACCCTGAATGAAGGAAAATGGGAGAGGGGATTATTTGTGGACTCCTGCTGATTGGGGAAGGGACTTCTTTAATCCGAAGAGAGTCGAGAACTGCTTACATTAGGGAACCAGAATGGTTTAATAAAACAGCCCTCCAGGATCTGTCCTAGAAGAACTGGAGAGCATATTGGTAGAATTAGGAGGCCAAAGGAGAAAGAGTAGAGGACTTAGGCATTGCCTCTTTGTCACTTTTTTCTGGGAAGAGCTTTTGGTACTAAGAAGTGGGGAGGAGTTACTCTTTGTGATTTGGGTCCCAGTTTTCAAGAACTACCTGTTTCAGGCAACATCAGTAAGTCAAATTTGGGGAGAACTGATCTTTGTGGGATGGCTTTAGGGTCTCATATCAGTGAGACCTGTACTTCAGGGAGGGGAGAGGTGTCTGTCTTGGGTGAGTGACTCTGTAGATAGTGTCTCAAGTGAGCTGATCTGAGATTAGGACTGTGTCTCAAATGGGAGGTTGGAAGCTTCTGTTTGGGGGAAATCATTTTAATCTCTTGCCTGAAACATCTCAATACCAAGAACTGGCACAGCTAGCGTTGAACCTTATGAGTCTTAAATTGGAGGAGCAAGAAGATGAAATTCTGCTTCAGTGTCAAACGGAAAGCATACTTTAGTATTGGCTTGTTGCTTCACACTCTGGGGAACTTCTGCAGATGTGGCGTCCAATAGCATCATTCCCCCTCACCAGTTCTCCTATTCCTAGATGGGAATCCAGGCTCTGCCATGACTAATCTCTCTGTATACTCTTTGCTACTATAAAACCTGGTGGCACATACTTCCCCAAGTGCATCTTGTTCATCACTCAAAGTTATAAGCCTGCCTGTGACACAATAACTAATTGTATTGTCAATTACTTCAAATGAAGCAGCAGCTGGAGGATCAGACAAACTCCTTAAAAACAAAGTTCTTGTTTTCTTGTGAATGTCTCTAGGAGTAATCTTTTATTTTTTTAAAAAGAAAAAGACAGGGAGGGGAAGTACAGAAAAGTGATAGATAAGCAGAAAGTTTTCCAAAGTTCTGAAACACTGGCAGGTCTTCAAAACCAATCTTGTTTTCAACTGCTGTCAGCATTGCTTCTAAAATTTCATGCCATTCCAACCTTTTCTGCAGTGCTGCACTTGAGTGTTACTGTATTGAAACCAGTTTATAGGTTGATGGTATTGGGATCCTTTGGAGGATTTTATTGCTTTACATTTTCCCCTCCCTTTGAATTTTTGCATTGCATTTAGGATAATATTGCACCCATTCTTTACGCTCGTGAAAAAATGCCACTGCTTTGTTGCTGTGTTGGGATGCTGCATTGTCTGTCACTTAGCAAACATAGCTGTTACACCTCATGTTGTATTCAGGGATGCAGCCGAGGCAGTTATTTTCAGCACCTGGGGAATAAAAAAGGCTTTCTAATGGCTAGTTTAGATGTCCAGCTTTCAAAACTTGAGCCAATTGGCTAGCATCATCCTGAGTAAATTGCTATATTTTTGTTGACATCAGTAGAGCTGTGCTAATTTATGCCAGTTTAAGGATCCAACCTGGATTTTCACCAGTTACTTATCTGCTGTGAACGTTTTTTTTCCTCCATTAATTTCTAAAATAAAATTTCATCTCTTGCCGCACTTTGAAATACCAGGAAGAAGCAGTTGGGTGTCAGAGAGTTTAGGCTGTATTAAAGTGTCAGTTCAGTCTAACTTTCTTCCCTTCCTTTCCATGCAAACAGAGAGCACCAAGTCCAGAACAACTCTGGTGGGAACAGTATGGGCCAAGTAGCGGTTGTGAAATAAACCGGTGATACTTTGAGGAGCTGGCCGTATATGCACTTGCCTTCTTGTCAACCCTATCATGTAATAACTTCACTGACTTCTGGAATTTCACAGCTGTGGCCTTTGCCCCACCCTTATTGCAAGACAGTGCCTCTGAACTGAAGCTTTCATTTAAAAATGTTTTCTTCCAGCCATGACATTGAGATGACCTTGAAAACACTGACTGGGTGTAAATCATGTGCAGAGTTGTGTGTTTGAGCCTGCAGGCAACTTGGACTAGAGCTCCAGGAGAAGTATGAGGTACCTACCCCTCCTGCACCAGAGCGGGTCATGAATTCTGAAACTAAATGGTTGCAACATATCTGTTAACTTTTTATTTCATTGCTGATCATTTGAGCAGAATTAGCCTGCTAACTGACTTATCCTATGATCCCAGATTGCTGCCCCAGGTTTCCAAAGTACCAATTGCCGCCTCCTGTCCAGGTACCAAAGCCTCCAGATTTGTTCCTAGCAGCTTTCATGATTTGGTTATATGTGGTCAATACAAAACTCTGTGGCATACTGAAAATATGGGGTCCTGATTGTGCTATTTACTCTAAGGGTTCATTTAATAATGACGGTCAGTCTTTTAATTTACATACAACTGCTGTAATTTCCACTTTACCACATCAGAGTGCCACAGAAGTCAAGTGGGGTTTTTTTCTGCAGGGTTTAGGTTCAGTTTGCCACAGAGTACATGGGGGGCCTTGCTTGTTGGCAGACTAGAGAAGGAAGAGTTTTTAGGGTCCGATCCAAAGTTAATCAAAATACAGTGGTTTTTTTAGCCATTTGTTGTTGTGCCTATCAGTGAGGTTATAAAAGCCAAATGGGGACAGGGGAAGTCATAAAGCCCTGAGAATTTATTATAATCTAAAGCAAAGAAGATCTGTTCCTTGAACACCTTTAATCTTCAGCGTCAAGTGTTTTTTGGGTATGTCTACACTGCATACTGCAGGGCAGAGTGCAAGTATCTGAGCTAGCTTTAAATCAGGTAAATTAGTTTGTACTCAGCTTCATGATCCCAGATCTATGCTGCTTCATTCAAAGCGATCAAATATCTACACTGCACTACATTCAAGGCAGTGAATGTGCATGCGCACACATGCACATAAATTACAGGGGCTGTAATGTCTGTTTTTCTTAATACTTTTTTTTCTCTTGCTTTTATAGTATATCTACAGGTATAATGGACATTTCTTATTTAGTAAAGGAGTTGTCACCTCACAAGACTGACAAAAACACTGCCTTAACTCACTGGGCATTGGCTTCCATGGACTTTTAATCATATCCTGAAAGTAGAGAGGCCTCCAGAGGAATGGAAGTATCATGTGAGCAGGAATAAAGGAACTGATATTTCTGTATCTGTTATTGTTTTGTTTAGATTTCTCTGAATTGTTCAGCAGTGGTGGTTGAAATCCATCTACAGTGGTATCTGATTCTTAGTTTGCTCACCCATGCATGTTTGAAGGCACAAAGGTTAAAGCAGCTTTGTTCGCTTCAATGGCCAGCTTTTGATGTTCAGCAAAACTATCCTTAACATGTCATAAAGTTGATACTTGTATAAAGAAGTCTCATATTATACTGACAAGGTCAGTGAGACTTTGGGATATGAACCCCACTTAAATTAATGAATGCACCAGAGGGAAGGTTTTTTTAACCGAAAAACCCAGCTGGTTAAAATGATAGTCTAAATGGAAGAATTTCAACAACATGGAAGAATTTCAGTGTTGTTACCTGCTAGAAGGGGATCCTTCATTTCTCCTTTCCTTCTTTATCTATTCTATTCCCTTTTGGTCTGATAAACTAACTGACCTCTTATGTCTGATTGCATAGCACACCATGTGAAGAGGTGAGCTGCACTTTTCTGTGAGTTAGCTGGAGAAGTTGTGTTCCTTGACCCTTGACCTAACAGGTAAAGTCTTAGTTGTATGGAGATTTAGCTATATTTGTGTGTGGGGTTCATTACAGAAGGGGCTCTGCACACCGGGAGAGCAATGGATCTCATTTCAAAACTGTCTGCTGCCTTGTTGAATTTAAATATTGTAAGTCCAGCTGGGAGAGAGGTTTCAGAGATCCATACTCTTGCATATTCAGAGAATGTTCAGCTATATTTTGGATTCAAGGTCCAATGCAAATCCTGCATAACATTAACTGGCTCCTTAGATTCCTTACTTTTTGGATGCATATGAGCTTTTCTGCCTTCTCTCTTAAAACAGATAACACCAGAATGACCCTGCCAACTGTATGTCCCCATGCTTTCCCATGTGTCACAGCCTGTTTCAAAAGCAGTAAAAGACAATAGGAAGACTATTCCTGTGGCACTCCAAAACAGAAGGTCCCATATGACAGCCTGACCACTTGTGACATGGCAACAGCCTCCCAGGAAACATTCACTTAATCCATTATGCATTTCCCAAGCGCTGTGCTATTGCATTCAATCTGGTTGCATCCTCCATCAGGCCATGTTGTGCATCACTAACAAGTGAGGACCAAAAGCAGTCTGCTGTCAAGGACACAAATATGACATAGCACAGAGTAGAATTCTTTCCAGTTTTCTGGAAGTCCTTGAGATTTGTACACAAAAGCTGCCCATCCATGTGCTGGTTTGCATTGTAATTACTGTGCCTCAGAGCAGACTTGATTAACGTAATTAGTATGCTCCAGTGTGGTCTCAATGTCATGTGTATAAGCCCCCATGAGTTTAAAAATGGCTGCTAGGGCACTTTATCTAAACCTCTTCAAATGAGGTTTAGATAAAGCATCATGTAGCCATTTTTAAACCCACAGGGGCTTAATACACCTGACAGTGAGGTGTTTTAATTAAAGCAGCTCTCTGGGAAGTGCTCTAATTAAAAGCCACCCCCTACCCCCAAGTACATATATAGGCAGTCAGTGAGAGAAAGATGCAGTGAGCCTCTCTGTTACAGTGGGCCCAGTCTAACCAAGATATTTCTTTGGCATTGCAGCGTTAGGTCATTGGTGATGCTGTTCATCTCCTCTGCTGTTTTCCTTGTGACACATTGCACAGTGTTTTTAGTTTTGTTTTCTTCATAGATTTCATAGACATTAGGGCTGGAAGGGACCTCAGAAGATCATTGAATCCAGCCCCCTGCCCAAGGGGCAGGAAGTCAGCTGGGGTCATAAGATCCCAGCAAGATAAGCATCAAATTTCTCTTAAAGGTGTTCAATGTAGGTGCTTGAACCACCTCCGATGGCAGGCTATTCCAGACTTTGGGAGCTCGGACAGTGAAGAAATTCTTATGTCCAGCCTGAAATGGTCTTGCTGGAGTTTATAACTGTTCGACCTTGTCATCCCTTGGGGTGCTCTGGTGATCAATCGTTCTCCCAGATCCTGGTGAACACCCCTGATAAACTTATAGGTGGCCATCAGATCGCCCCTGAGCCTGTGCTTTTCCAGGCTAAAGAGTCCTATAGCTCTCAGCCTGTTGTCATAAGGTCTGTTTTCCTGACCTCTGATCATGCCTCTCCTCTGGAATCTCTCGAGCTTCTCCACATCCTTTTTGAATTGTGGAGCCCAAAACTGGATGCAATACTCCAGCTGCGGCCTCACCAGCTGGAGTACTGGTGTCCTTAATGTCCTGTGTGGCTGTGGTGTGTGGAGAGTTGAAGTGGATGGTTTTCAGGACTTCGGAAAAATTGTTGCCTGTGAATGCAGGGGGCTGGACTTGATGGCTTTGAGAGGTTCCTTCCATTTCTATGTTCTTTATGTCTTTTTGTTCCTAATGCAGTTCATATACCAGCCACGTAAGCTGCAATACCATAATGATTTGCATCCACATATACAGTGTTGCTTTGTCAAAGCTGAAGTGGTTTAATGGTTAGATCCCAGGACTCAGAGTCCAGAGACACAGATTGTATGCATAGCTCTGTTACTAATTTTCTGTATCAGTTGAGGCAGATTATTTTACCACTTTACATCGTACTTTTCCCTTTGTCTTGTCTGTTTAGACCAGTAGTTCTCAACCTTTTTAGACTCCCAACACCCCTTGCTAGACTTGTGGCACCCCTTGGGAAATGTCAGCTTTTAGTTTTCACTTGATTTTTGAGCGCAGAAAAATAATAGAGCCATTTTTCTGTTGCAAAGAACCCATAAAGACCAAAACAAGCTTTTAACATTACGGATTCCTATTTGAAATCTCTAGGGTTTATTTTATGAATCATCATGGTTTGAGCCCTTAACACTGTTAATGTTGCATCACATTCTGCAGCACCCCTGAAAAGATCTTGAGGCACTTTGGGGTGCCACAGCATCCTGGTTGAGAATCGCTGATTTAGAGTGTCAGGGCTTTGGGCAGAGATTTTCTTATGATGTATTTTAACGTTACCAACCACAATTGGGCCTTGGTCTTGGTTGGGGAATTGGTATGTCAACTTAGTCCAAATGATAAAATAACAACATCGATCTCTAGGTCCAAAAAGTTACAACATTTTTTATAGCACGGGAGTTGTATATATTATGAAAGGGATTTTTTTTTTTTTTGCTATTACCACTTTAGTCCTCCTGACAGCTTTTTCAGCTGTTACATGTGGGCAGATCTGAAATGTGGGAGGAACACGTAAGGAACTGCAAGTAGAGGCAAGTTTTCCATCAGTGTTCTGCAGTGGATAAGAGAGAGCTTTTGCCAAGGTACAGCAGTGTGTATTGCCTTAAAGCTAGGGGCAGACATTACACATAAACCAATTTAAGTGATGAGAAACTGGTTTAAACCTGTAACAGAAAAGATGTTCACTGCACGTAAACCAGTTTGAATTTGGCTGAAACCAGTTTGAGATAAATCTGGTTGACTGTAGTATCACACTTAACTGATCTGAGTCAAACTGGGTTATGCAATGTCTGCCCCAGACCCTTTGCTGGTTTAAACTTAACCAGACACTCCCAGCATCCCGGCATGCTCTCTGGGCTGGGCGGGGCTTTCTGCTCCACAGCAGGGCTGGCCCCTCTCCTCTGCTCCCTAGCTGGAGCTCTGGTAGAGACTTGCAGGCATAGCAGGGTCTGCCTGGCTTCCCTCTACCCCCACCCCACTACTCGCTGTATAAGCGGAGATCCCTTCTTCCTCTCTCCCACAGCACAGACTATAGCCAGCATATGGTATGCTAGCTAAGACTGTGTAAGGCAGATAGGACACTGTCCACTTAGGGCTTTTTGGAGGTAATCAACAGCTCAAATGGTAATGTCCCTGCATTCCTTCCTTTGGAAAAGGCAGGTGAGGTTCTGATATCTTTTATTAGACCAACTAAATAGTTGGAAAACATTTTCTTAGCAAGATTTTGGGTTTAAAAACCCTTTGTCAGGCTGAGGAAGCATCTGCAAGCTGGTGTGTGCTCTTCCTGGATGGAATAACTAGTAAAGAAGTCAGAGGCTGGTATGCGTTTTCCTTTGGAACAAGCTGTTTAAGATGAGCTTGTAATGAGTGAGGCATTATTTTCTGATGGGGTGTTAAATGCTGATAACAGAGCTGATAAATGCTCTGTTATCAAGGCTGGGGAAGGGGATGACTCCTTAATCAGTGTCCTAACAGGGCTTGGCCACACCCGCCTCAGCTCAGCCCTATGCAAGGGAAGGGAGGGCTAGTGTGTCGTGTCCCCCCCCCAGCTTCTAGCCTGAGCCACTGCAGTCATGTGCCTGCATTTTTGGGATGTCTGTGCAGTTACAAAACTGATTTAGCCTAGTCAGATTAGACTAACCTGTAAAGACTGAGATCAATTCAAGGTCAGGCTTTTTGAATGTCTGTCCCTAACCTAAGGGTTGATGTCAGTTGCATTTTCCTCTATTTCTGAGGGACTTCCTGCTGCGATGTCTCTTGATGTTTTAGTGTACTGGTGTAAGGAATATAGATTCACTTTTCATGAGACCTATGGGAGCCAGGTTGTACATGTCAAAGTTTCCTAACCCATTTTTAAAGAATCTAGGAAGATGCATCCTCTAGCAAGTGTCTGCTTGAACTTTTGACTGCTGATGTTTGCTTTGTGACCTTTCCATCAGCAAATCTGTGTGTCAAGGTAGGTACTAGTCTGCTCAAGTATGGTTCTACCTCTGTGATGGATACTGGACATCAATTAATAATCATCAGAGATGTATTATCTTCTTCTGTTTTTATTTTGGTCAGATTTAGGATGGCATGATTTGGAAAAAAGGGTGCAGTGCATGAGACAAGAAAGGCATCTTTCACTCAAATCCTGCTGGGTTTTTTCAGAACATAACATTCTAAGCAGATGTGGTGCCCTGGTGGCACAGATGTCTATTTCAGGGATG